TACTTTCTCCCTGATCTCAATTTCTTCCCACTAAGAAAAGAAGCCTTTGTTGCCCCCACGACTGATCCAGTCTTCTGGGAACTGTAACATCGACTTACATCATAACCTGATTGGCATGGACATGGTAGCCTATCTCTAGTTTGAATACCATATTTATCTAAGATTCTACAAAATTTACAAGAACTAGATGGAAAAACCTACCCTGACCAGTCTACTCTGATCAGCCTTTTTAAAACAGACAAATGGGATCCTATACTGTGTCATCATTGTATATGGCTTAAGTACTACTACATTTCTAATACATTTGCATGTGTGGGTATAGTTTTGACATTTGAAGCTGAACGTTGCCGATAATAAGGTAAAGAGAGAACTTGCCTGGGGGATGAGATGGCAACAGCTGCAATAGCAGAAGAAGCACAAACAGAGGCCATTTTGCGTCAAATTTTTACCCTTCAATGAGCCGGGGGTCTCTGGCAGCAAGGATATGCAAATCTGTTAAATGTATCCAAGGGCTTATCCTAAAGGATAGGAGAGTAGATGTCCAATTGGCTACTGGTTTGCCATGTGTCACCTAGAATCTGATATCAAGCCCCTTTACCTCCTCTTCTTGTGCCTATTCGGATTGAATCTGATGCTGGTGGTTCCCATTGCAAGTTTGTGTGGCTGATATATCAAAAATATATATATATCTAAGGCAATGTACGCCAGGCAGGCAGGCAGGGATTTCAAACGTATATAGTGGCCCACACACTCCGTATAGGCATATGTTGGTGAGTCTGGTGAGCGGTGACCTTTCTTAAATTGTAATATAAGCTAATAATATTTTGTTATTATGCATTTCGGTAAAGAAATCTGAAAGGAAATGAAAATTTGCAACCCATGTATGTATAAAAATCATACTTAGCCTTAAGCCAGGAAGATAACAAATTTCTTAATAAAAAAGGAAAATGTTACAACCAAAATAGGATAGGAGGAATAAACCCAAAACCCCCCTCGTCATGAGGTGGACATGACCAAAACTACAATAAAAGAAAAAAAAATCGATTTACAAATTGCAACGTAAAATATTTACTCAATCCTGCCCCAAGGATGAAATTAAGTTGATCAAACATTTATTTTATTAAAAAGATTTCGTTTAATATAACAAATACTAGTATCTGTCACCCTAGTTTATTTTATAAATTTGTCCACGGAAAGATATAAAATATACCATAACCAAATGGGTGCATGGGTTCTCAGCTTCCTTGTTATTGCACTTCAATATGACCCAACCTGAACTTTCATGTCAAACCCCAAAAAAGAGTTGTAGGATCATTTTGTTCATCGGAAGGGAGAATTTTGGTTGACGCCTAATCTATAGTCCAGAACCAATCAGCCCATACCATTTCGTAAAATGTTTTAGTACTATTGGGCCAAGCCTAGGCCGTCTGGCTTTTATCAGTCAATGGACTCTACTTTCATGGTTCACTCATCTGTCATCCCCTCTCGTGCTTTCTTCCTTCGGGACTTGGAAGATCCAAATAAAATGACCTTAATATGGGCCAGGAGGACAAGCAAAAATCTTTTTCGTTTTTTGTTTCTTGGTAAGAAAGAAGTTCAATAAAATCATTAATGAGTAGAAATCAAGTAAAATATCAGCCTGGATGCCACACCTTTGTTCTTATCTTCTCATCCGACGCAAGATCACAACCCCCAGTTTGTGTCAACCTGAAGTAGTAGATAAAGCTAAGGCCCACAGCCACATATTCTATGTCT